GTGGGAATGCAAAGCATAGGTTCATTCGTTAACCAGGTTAAAGGAGTTGTGTAAGCCCAGCAACTGTTTCTTCTTCTTTTGAGAGCTGCTGAAATTGTCACTTCACATCAAGCGGAGAAGCTGGGCTTGAATCAACAAGATACCTCTTAGGGCTTCCTCAGACGCCGTCCCAAAATCAACAGCTTGCCTGAAGTTCAGAGAATTCATAATTCTGGTTTCACTTAGTTGATTTATGAGTTTCACTTCCACAAGATGGGGTGGAAGTCCCTGGCTTACACAGCTGTAGAAGAGGAGGAGGTTAGAACCTCCATCTTCAGAAGGTCTGTAGCCCTAGAGGACATGCAAACACATCTCGTTCAACGGACCTTCGTTCCCCAGTTGCGTGCATGTGACAAGCATTTGATCATTTGGACGTTCACCGCTTTGAGCCCGAGATCTGTCTTTTTGGGTCTGTGGTCAGATTTGGAATTTGTGAGCAAATTATAGATTTAGCAAGGAGTGGCTAAGCTCAATCTGTTCCCTTTCACTTCCCCCAAGGTCATAAGGAGGGGAAGTGCAGCCAGCGCACTCAGGTCGCAGCGCGGCACATCACCCAGTGAACTTCATTTAAATGCTTTGTGTTTCTCCACAACTGTCTCAGCCAGTGACTCAAGCAAGAAGATGGATATCCTGTCAGTTCGACTGGTTTATCCGACATATTTTTGCTCTCAAAGCTTTTGGGGGCCAAGAAAGTCCTTTTGAGAGGCCTGCAGACTTTCTGAACCAGTATCCTACAGGTGTATTGGGTCGATATAAAGGCTAGCGGTGTTGACCCAGCACACCTGAACACAAGGACATTTCAGTGAGAAAAGTGTGTGTGTGTATACATATATATACTATATATATACAGTATAGTTTTTCATTACATTCAGATCTGTAATTATTCCCTGGGACCCTTCCTTAGCTGAGCTCCTATGCTCCCCTTAATCAGACGAGCTGGGAAAATAAAGTACTGCCAGTTAAGGACACAACATTTTAAAACATTGGACCATTTGAATAATTTGAGACACTCAGCTTCTTTTCAACCATCTTTTCAGCTTTTTTATATCTTTAGTATTTGTAATAAAATAAATTGAGAGTTTAATACATGCAGCCCACTCAGCTCCTTTTGGAAACAGGATATCCTGTGAATAGCTCACAAAAACAAACGGGTAATTCTATGCAGAGGCCTTGAGCTTATTCTACAATATATCTGTAGAAATGAATCAAAGCATATTTAAGGTCTACAGATGTCACCTACAGTCTGCTTTGGGCATCGTGTTTTTAATTTGTAATGGGCCATCTTCCTCTAAAACCTGCTTCTTCACCCCAGATGTTCGCCTGATTCTTCTTCGCCCCAGATGTTCACCTCATTCTTCTCCTTTGCCCAGATGTTCACCTGATTCTTCTTCACCTCAGAGGTTCTTCTGCTCCACCTGGTCCTGTTTGAAGATTCCTACACAAGGGACTACCAATTAATCTACTCATTATGGTCAGGAACCTTATAGCCCAGTCATAAACCCCTTTATTATGCTTTCCATCTTAACATAAATCATGTAAATGGGCCCAGAATTATGCCTGTCTACCCACCAGCTGGATAACTCCCTGTAGCGCGAGGGGACTGCAGGAAGTGGTAAAAAAAGTCAAAATGGCAGTTGCGACCGTGCAATCAATGCTCTGCCAGTTTTTACGTGCATCACGTGCAATTGCACTGTGGTGGCCGCCATCTTGACTTTTTTGACCCTATTCTTGAGGACATTCTGGGGGAATATCTGTAAGACATTGTATTAGTGATTGTGTAGGCATCATTTAGGATGACAAGGTTTAGGATTACAAGATTACCTAAAGGTCAGATGGAATCCTATCGTCAGGAGGGGGAAATGGCTGATGCTGGAATAATTGGTAGCAAACTATTTGTATCTCTAGCCCCAACAGTGATTATGCACCACCAAATCTGCATGGGTTAGCTGAGTCATTATGCGCTGTAAATAGTGATGGTTAAGAGAGGAACATGGTTTGGGCTCACGTACACTTTGCATGGTCAACCTATAAACTGTTGACCTGGGAGTTTGGAACTCACCTGGGGCTCCACCTGGATGTGCCTTGGCCCGGGAGCATCCTCGTGCAAGAGTATTTGGGTGCCACCTTGCACAGATGAGAATAAACTTTCCCTCTTCCTTATATGGGGAGGGTAGTCTTGCAATTCTTCTGAATTGGGGGGGGCATCTCAGGCAGCACAGGCTGTTTCGCCTCTTTTTAGCACGTGACGCAGATCAGGAGGTCCGTTTTGGGCAATTAAATCCTTTGGATGGTGAGCACGACGCTGTTTGAAGGGCTTCCTGTCTTTGGTCTAACACGCTTTGAACTGAACAGGCCAGATTTGGTGGGTGGTCAGAAGCAACCTCATGAAGGACTGTGGAGGGAAAAAATGTGTTTCTCCTCCATCAGTGTTGTCCAAACTTGGCCACTTTAAGACGAGTGGACTTCAATTCCCAGAAT